GCCATGTGATTGGCTGATTAGAAATGAAGTGTTAACGAGCAGTTGGACAGGTGTACCTAATAAAGTGGCCGGTGAGTGTATATAGTCTCCTTCAAAAGTATTGGAACAGCGAGTCAAATTTTTTTGTTTTTGTTGTGCACTGAAGATACTTGTGTTTATGATCGTGAGACAAGAGTTCAGAATGTCAGCTTTTATTTCCTGGTATTTATATGAGTTAAACAACTTAGGATTTATCACCATTTGTACTACACCACAGTGTTTTAGGTGAGCAATAGTATCAGAACAAATCATCTTAAAGTGAATAACATTCAATATTTGGTGGCATAACCCTTCTTCGCAATGACTGCCTCAATCCTGTGACCCATTGACTTCACCAAACTGTTGCGTTCTTCATTAGTGATGTGTTCCAGGCTTTTTACCACAGCTTCTGTCAGTTTTTGTTTGTTTCAGGGGATTCTCAATTCAGTCCCCCTTCAGGAGGTGAAATGCTCTGCGTGTCTGAGCCAATCACTTTTGTTGGCATTGATCAGCTGACTGATTTAAATACATCTTAACATTCATGAGGTACTTTGTATTGACTGTTTATGGTTGAACGTGGGCGTGTAGAGGGTAGAACGTAAGGCGGGACCTCGTGCGTAAATTGACGTGTGGCTGTGATTTATAAAGGAAAGATGCGCAGAAACGTGCGTACACACGGTTTTATAAATCTGAATTTTTTTTGGTGTACRCCATTTCCGCCTTTTGGCCGTACGTTCACTTTTAGTATGGTTTCCACGCAATCCTTTATAAATGAGACCCCTGGTCAGGTGATTGACTTGGCCAATCTAAAATCTTCCTCTTCTTTCTCCTGATGAAGTCCTTGGTTTTGTTGACAGTGTGCTTCCGGTCATTTTCCCACAGCATGATAAAATTTCTCACGGTTAGTTTGGATACATTTCTCTGTAATTTGGCAGACAAATTGTTTCTGTACACTTTGGAATTAATTCTGCTGCTACCATCAGCAGTGACATCATCAATAAATATTAATGAGCCTGTTCCAGAAGCAGCCATGACATTACCTGCACCATGCTTCACAGATGAACTTGTGTGCTTCAGATCATCAGCAGTTCCTTTCTTTCTCCATACTTTGGCCTTTCCATCACTTAGAGATTAATCTTGGTCTCATCAGCCCATAAGATTGTCTTCCAGAACTTTTGCAGCTCATCTCTGTACTTATTTGCAAATTTCAATCTGATCTTCTGATTCTTGTTACTGATGAGTGGTTTACATTTTTCTGTATGGCCTCTATATTTCTGCTCTGAGTCTTCTTCCAACAGTGGACTGTG